TATATATATATATATATCACGTGTATTTCACGAGGTTGCGGTCTGGTAACGCACGTTTGTCGCTACCTTCAACTGCTACGTGTAAATATAGGTAGGTGAGTGACAACTCGTATCGCAGTGACAGATTTCATGCGTTACGCGTGAAAGCGTGCACGCCTTGTATACATATGTACGTCTTGTATACGTCACGCCGTCACCTCTCTTTTTCTCACTCCCCCTTTTTTCTCCTTATACCGCGTCAGTACTATTTTTCTCCTAACCTAATCTAACTTAACCTAACCTTTCGCGGCTTGAGCACTCGGCAGAGAAATTGGGGCGCGATAGATTATCTATAAACACATCGAAAGGAAAATGGAATCCTGCTTCGACCACTTGAAGTAATCCATCGAGTGCTAAAGATCAGCTAGTTTCTTTAAAAGAAACTTTCAGGTTTCTTCTCTCTCTTTCTTTCTCTCTCTCTCTCTCTCCCTCCCTCTCTCTCTCTCCCTCTCTCCCTCCCTCCCTTTGCATCGTTCAACTGTGTGCAGCCATGGCATCCTCTAACCGCGGTATCCAAATCGGCTCCGGCTGGTTCCAGACCAAGATTAATCTCAGACCGCAGCATCGGGGCGTTCATCTTGTCACCGAGGAGATCCTCAGGCAGGTCCCTGAACTCTGTCAGTTTTCCATTGGTCTCTGCCATATTCAAAGTGAGCACTAATCTATATTACTAATAATCTGATTGAATACAATAGTTGTGTGTGATTTTATAGATGGCTAAAAATTGATAGTTTATTTATCTAACATCATTGTAATTACTACATTGTATAACATGTATATGTGTATTTTCCTTGAAAGGAGCAATAAATGCTACATTTAATTCTTTTCTATAGTTCTCCACACTTCAGCTAGTTTAGCGTTAAATGAGAGTTGGGATCCAGATGTGAGAGACGATATGGAAATGATGCTTAATAAAATAGTTCCTGAAGGTTTGGAATATAGACATAGCTGTGAAGGGCCTGATGATATGGTAAATTCAAATTTTCTTAAGATATTTTTTAAAACTATACCATTCTTTTCTTTCATTTTATTATTTTTTTTATATTATAATGAATAACTTTACCATATTTAGTTTCAATGATATACATATTTTGCATATTTTGCATTTTGATCTAATGGACTAACTAAATCTAATTATATAGCATATTAATACATTGCGTACCAGACATGTTAAACGATATTTTTGATTTTTGAAGTGTTAAGGACCAGAGATGTCAATTGACATCTTTTGAACATTCTCATGTGGTATTATCAGACAAACATTTATATATGGTGTGCGTAAGGGATAAGTAATAAAATAATTAATTAATAAATAATTATTCTTTTAAGAAAGCATTTTGTTGGTATTAAGTGAACATTTTATATCAAGTGCATTCTCAGAACTTAATATGCAAGAAAGTTTTTCAATTTTTTAGTAGGTTATACTAAACTTTTGTGAACTTTTTATTTAAAAATGCAGCATCAGTTTAAGGATTCAGTTGCAAAATTATATGCTGATGTTTTATCAGACGTTCCAGCGACAATGAATGAAAAGATATAAGTAACAATAATGATAGTAATAATAATGACAATAATAATAGTGATTCTTTTGCTTCAACGCCGTAAGAAAAGATGTGTGCATTCCTTGTTGAGTGACTCAGGATAGGAGACTCATAGCGATGAAAAATTTGAGATTGATCCTTACTTGCCATTGTTTTAATTTATTGGATACATCCAGATGATAATGAGATATGTTCTGAAAATGCGGGAAATGGGCTTTTATAAAGTTCAGTTTATATGGTTCACAATGTGTTAATAAATCTCTATAATTATTTTTCAAGAAATATAGACTTATTTTTATAAGAAAAGAAAGAAACTATTCATTTTCTAATTTTAATGCGTATGTCATAAGTGTCTAAAAAAGAATTCATTAAAAAATTTTTTTGATTCTGAAGTTCTCTATTAAATAAGCAAAATAATTTGGAACATCAGTAAACAGTATCAATTTTTTTCTAATGTTTCATAGCCGGCACATGTAAAGGCTTGTTTTTTGGGCTCGTCGTTAAGCATCCCAATCACCGACGGTAAACTGGCGCTAGGCACATGGCAGGGCATTTGGTTAGGCGAACACCGCGATCATGCTGGTAGTCGCAAGCTTGTGGTAACGCTAACTGGTGTTCTAAGGGACTCAGCACGTAGCCCTCTCAGCCCAGTCAGCCCTATTGCCTCTACTAGCAGCTAGGACCACTCGCACCCCCAAAGGCGTGATAAGCGTCAGCTATACGTGTCCACCTCGAGTGAATCAAGCTAGCAGCCGCTACAAGCGCTAGTCGATTTATAAAAGTACAATCTCTTGAGGAAGAATGAGTCGGATACCTCGCAAATTTGTCCATCCGCGTCAATCGTGGACAAAAATCGATATCGCGCACTGTTCATGACACTTTTGTGCGTGTATATGTGTTTTAAAGTTTTGTTCATGTTTTTGACGTTCTGCAAGGATATCTCTTTTTTTTTCTTTAAGAGGCAATGAGTCTCTGGGGTTGTTACACAAGTTCTCTAGACAAGAGAAATTGAAAATGATACGATATAAACTTTTGAGTTTATGTCGATGTAATTTGCATATTGGAAACCAAGATTTTGAGGAAACTTTCTGCTTAAAAAATTACATTATAATTATTAATTAAATAAAAAAAAGGTTAAATCTGATATTCAAAAATACAAAAACTAAGATCATTGAAAGTTTTTTCAGTTCCAAAAATATTGGAATTTAAAGGCTTGGAAGATTTAAAATTTATGTAACTTTTTCATGGAAATTAATTTTTTTGTAAACATTTAAAATGCTTTTTTCCTAGTTTTTTAAACTCGCATTTTCACGTGATATACATTTGCGATATTTAATAATAATAATAATAATAATAATAATACAATAATAATAATAATAAAAAACGCAAAGGAATATAAAGGGACAGAAAAAAAAAAAATGAAAAAACTGCCACTGCGTATGCGCGCATTATACGCGTCTTTTATAAACAAAATGAATTAAATGCGAGTATCCAGCGCTCTTCCACCTCGCTATTGAAAAAAGAAGACAGTAGAAGAGGGGAAAGATACGCTCTAAGGAAAGCATTTAGAAAGAAAAAGATAGAGGGAAGAATGAATCTATGCATTCCGATAACGCGTCCAATACTCCGAATTTACGTAGTTTTATTTAGGAGACCCTTTTGTATAAATGAAGTTAACGAATACAAGCAACCACATGCAAAAATTTGCATCCTTTTTTACACTCTGCTACCTTTAGCTTTAGACTGTCCCAAAATGAGAAACAGAAAGAGGGATAAAAAACAGGATAACAAGAGTAAGAGACTGTAAGGTACGAAACTTTATGACTTTGTTGCGAACTTTCTAACTTGTTGCTTTAAAAATGAGCTAAATCGTTCGCGAACAATGTTTCTATGCATTAGAAGTGTGTATATGTATATAAGGAAAAGAGCGATGATTCTCTGCCGCTGTGTGCGTTTCTGCTAGAATTATAAGGTATGTTATATCATGGGCACATAGTGCGATTACATTTCCTATGTGAATTATAGCATATATAAATGTCACAAAATTTGAACATAAAAACATTACAGTTTTGAGAGACTAAATAATAAAAGTATATGCAATTTTTTATTCTGTGCGAGTTTTTTTGAATATATCAATTCAACATTTTTTTTATCAATCATGAGCTGTGATTGTGGAGTTTTCTGTTTTTGAGTCATGTATATAATGATATTAAAGACTGTATACATTAATCTAATTACTAATGCTTAATAAAAGATTATGCACTAACACTACTATGATAGGAATAAAGAAATTTTAAATTGTATCATATTTAGAAAGCTATTAAAAGTATGGAATTAAAAGATAGCATATGCTTTTGTTATTGAGTTTACGAACTTTTGTTGAATATTTTTATGCTTAAATTTTGTAATATCTTATGTAATGGAAGCAATGTTATTATATATTGAAACAGTTAATTGCATCAATGTCAATCACTTTTTTTCATGTTTGTATTAACTATTATTAACTATTATTAGTTATTACATTAGACTACTAGTTTATAGCAACTAGTACTCTGTTAAGTCAAAGAACTCAATATTCTATTGCTCTCCATTATAAAAATTTTTACAAATTATGTAAAATTAAATTGTTTTATGTTCAGTCAAAATGCCATTTAATTTACAATTATTAAAGACATTCTTTAATAGTAATATATTCTTCTCATTGAGAAATTTGAAGTATTCTTAATTTATATATATAATTATATATAATCTAAAATAAAATTTTTTTGAACTATTGTTTAATATCAAAATGTTTAATAAAAAAATTGAATTGATGATTTGCCGCTGTTATCTGCAGCTTTAAAATTCAATTTAAGAATTTAGTATGCACCTTATTTATTTTCTGAAGTATTAAGAAAACTAATCTTAAGACTAATCTCTTCGTTTTGCTTACTAGATGATTGCATCTTAAAAACGAGGAATTATGTGTACATTTTTATATTATATCTTGAATTAAATTAGTTTTTATCATATTTTTGATAGCACACATCTGTCAAATATCAGATACAGAGAGAAATAGATAGATTCTTCTCTTTCAATTCATAGATTAGTAAAGTAAGTAGATTAGTAATTAGCTTTTTTAAAACTTATTCTGTTGTCATTAAGATTATTTTCATTCAATTTTATTTTGGAAATTTATAGAATACATAGAGTAGATATATATTATGTTTATTTATTATATAGTACAATCAGGTGACAATTAGGAAAGGAGTTTTTTGCATATTTTAGCAATTTATATATTATCGAACTGGAGTGAGATTTAAAAAAAAACTAATTTTTTCGATGAATATAAAGAAAAAGTTTATTTTATTTTTCAAAATAACAATATAGCTCCCATAAAATCAAAACAAATAAATAAAAAAATAGGCTTAAAGAGCAACGGCGCAAATAACAAAAAAAAGTATTTAAAAAAATTAACTTAATAATAACCGCATGCTTACGTCTTGATATAACTCTTAAAAATAAACGAAAAATATAAATAGCATAAATAAAATATAGCAAACGTTTCAGTCCCTAACTGGACTCTCTTCAGTGGTGATAAATTACATACAGCAAATAAAATCAGAGATAGTCAGAAATTGTTCATCGACCTTCCAAAGGCCAACATTTGTCAAAATTAAAAAATTCTGGGAAAAACTATGTGGTAGATGAATTTTGACAAATGTTGGCATGCCTTTGTAGGGTCGATGAACAATTTCTGACTATCTCTGATTTTATTTGCTGTATGTAATTTATCACCACTGAAGAGAGTCCAGTTAGGGACTGAAACGTTTGCTATATTTTATTTATGCTATTTATATTTTTCGTTTATTTTTAAGAGTTATATCAAGACGTAAGCGTGCGGTTATTATTAAGTTAATTTAAAAAAATACTTTTTTGTTATTTGCGCCGTTGCTTCTTAAGCCTATTTGTTTATTTATTTGTTTTTATTCTTCAAATGTCATAATTTAATATGGATAAGAAATCAGCAGTTTAAAGATTATATTAAGAATGACTTTTCTTAAATTTTGAAGAAACTAAATTAGATTTTATATATTTTATTACTACTTATCAGAGTTTCCTACTTATCGAAAAAATCATATTAAAGAATGACTTTTCTCAAATTTTGAAGAAAGTAAGTTAGTCACAGCTTACTGTACTGAATTCTTTAATTTTTTTTGTAGGAACGAAAAAGCGCTGGAATTAAATATGGCTGTTGGTGCAATTGACTCTTATTTATTAAAAAACCAATTCTAAGGTTCATAAATATATGAGGCATCATTTTTAAAAATTCAGCACTGCAGTGAATTGTAACGTTGATTCATCGCAGAGATCAAGCGGTGTCAATTCCGGGAGAAAGTTTCCTTTGCACTTTTGACTCTTTGGAAATGTGGAAAGTTTTAGTCATTTTTAGTCCTCAGAACTTTGAATTTTTGGACACAAATATAAAAATATCTGCATTTTCTTTTCTATTCCAAAGATCATCGGCGCAGAAGAAAAAGCGGAATAAATCTTTGTGATGAATTAACAGAGCTACTTACATAATGTTATTAATCGATGCTTATTATGAGCTTGTTGCAGCATGTCGTCGAAACGAGGAGACAGACCGGACAAGTGTTGTCGTTTAGTCGTTAATTCTTAACATATACATAGGCATGCAAAAAGAAAAAAAAACGCGTCGTCCATTATGTGATTAAATGGATCTATGCTTTAAAGTATGTCTCTATCTACAGTTCACATAGCGTAAAAAGATATTATCGGAGCTCAAAGTATAATGTAATATAATGTGATGTAATGGTACATTGTCGAGGTCATCGTATGTGTTGCCCCTTCGAATACGCAAAACGAGGGCATGGAAGATACGAAGAAAACTCATATGCATAAAAATATCTTTTCTCTCTATGGTATCTAACGTGTCCTCATAAATGCAACTTTAGGTTCGACAGCCAGTCACTTACTACATACAGTTGGTTTAAAGTGAAGTGATTAGCATTTTAATCTGTAAACATACATATTGTAAATAATAACGATTTGTTGAACTCAAAACGAAGGTGCGTTGGTCGAGATCTTAGAAGATATGTTATATACTTAGCGCGATCTAGAGCGTCTATAGAACTCCAGTTTCTCTCTCTCTTCAGAGATTGTAATTCTCAAATTCGTAATTTGCGCGAATCTTTTGATTCTTTCAATTTTTCAGACGTTCAAAGTGGCGATTGTTTCGAAAAAAATTATTTTTGGAATCTTTGGAATAATTCAGGGTATCTATTCCCTGGAAAAAATATGGAAAATTTTGAATTCTCAGGTATTTCTCTTGGACCTGGAAAAATCAGGAAATTCTCATGCAATTTTATTGGTGCTCAGGGATTTAAAAAAAAAATTTTCTCTGATAATTTTGCTCTCATATTAAACAGTCGACAAGCAAAATTAATTTCATGTGCGTTTAAAATATATTATAAATATATCTATCTCAGTTTATATGTTCAATGTCTTACGAAATATTGAATATGCTGTACATATTCTTTATTGTAATTTTTAGTGATAAAAAAATGGAAATATGCAAATGAAAAATGTTTTCTTAGGAAAGTTATTTAGTTTTTTTTAAATACATTTACAAATCTAGCACTTGAAATTTAAGAGGCTCTGTGTTTTTCCTTCATATAAGTGAAAAAAAAACATTAGATAATGCACGCAATAAAATAATTTATTTTTAAAAAATGCACCAAAAAATCTTTAAAATATTCTATTTACCTGGAATTTTGAACAAAAATATCTGGAAGATCAGGAACTTTTTTTACAAGATTTGAATAGAGAGAGAGAGAGAGAAAGAAACACCCTGGGAATAATATCTCGAGTCGTTGAAAATATATTAACAATAAGATTATACTGATATTAATTCTCGATTTTTTTTGTTCTTCCAAATCTTCGTGAATAATCTTTTAGAACATTATTTTCAACCTTTCTTGTGCAAAAAAAAAGGTTTTATAAATTTTATTTTTTTTTAATTTAAAGACGTATTTAATTTTATTATTTAATGTTAAATTTGGATTCTTGGAGATTTTTGGGTTCCTTCTGTTTAAATTATAAACGTTATAAAAGCTATAAGAGTTATGATCACTTATATGTCAGAAATGGAATTATCGAAACGAAAGAGATAAAAATTCATCTCCAAACGTAAGCTTCTGCTTGCGTGCAGCGAACGCAGATTTAATTATTGCAACACATGCAGACTCTGTCAATCCCTCTTTGCACTCTTGCGTAAATAAAAATATTTTCTACCGTTTAGAAATAAAGAACTATTATAACACAAACATGGCACATACATATAATATTCATCAATTATTAAATATCTGTGTGCCTGTGTGCTTGCATATATGCCCGTGTGTATGTGGATATATAAAGACAAATATATGTGCAAAAGTGAAAGAGGTGAAACGCATAAATGAATAAACATGTACCGCGGTTTTACAATGCCAACCTACATACATTACTAAAGTATACCGAATTTAATAACCTTTGCATAAGAACAGTAAAGTTAACAATGATTTTATATAATTTTCATAAGATTTACTTTTTTGAATGTTCCAAATTTTTTCTTTGTAGGGATTTATTTATCTTTTATAAATAGTTACAATATAGAAATATAAACATTCCAGTAAAACCTATGATACCCTACTCTAATATAGTGTCCTGTTTTCTTTCCTGCATAGAGACTATTGATATTACAATACAGATGGGGATTAATTATATCCTATTGTCCGTTTTATACTAATTATTAGATTGCAGATGTTTATATGTGCAAAAAAGTACATAATATTTAAAAAATACGTGGTATATATGTTGTAGGCAAATAGTTATGATAGGAAAATAGCTTTTGACTAGACAAATGCTATCTGCCTGGTCAAATGGCTTTCGCTCATTTATTTTACAACGCATTCCGAACGCGGATCGGATTTGGATTACGGACTGCGAATTGTCAATCATCCAATCAGATCCTTGGCTACTTCGCTCTGATTGGATGGATGACGATTCGCAGTCCGTACTCCAAATCCGATTCGAGTCCGCAATGCGTAGTGTGACACGAGCTTTAAACAAATGGTTACTTGTATTATCTTTTCGTTATATTCTACTTGCGTATTTATATTTTTTTGTTTACATTTGCATTTACATTAGTTTTAAATCAGAAATAGGTTTGGGTTAGCTTTTCGATTCTTCTGGAAATGGTGACCCCCGTAGAGGGGGGGGGGGGCGGAACCCACTGCGTCCACGCATACATTTTTCCATCCATACAACAATTGCGAGGTGGACCTCGTTTTGCGTTGTAAAGTATATGCGTGCCCAGCAAACAGAATATAACTGCTATATAACATGGGAATAACTATGTAATGTAACTGCCCAAGTAACAGAGTACGTCAAAAGACGACATAATGACGTCTATTTTTGGTCTATAATGTCTACCACAGCAAACACAGAATATAACTGCTATATAACATAGGAATAACATGTAATGTAACGGTTGTTATACCTAATTTATATTGGGATTATATAACTGTCTTTTATTTATGCAATGTAACACCAGAATATAACTGCTATGTAACATGGGAGTAATATGTAATGTAACAGCCCAAGTAACAGAATAACGTCAAAAGACGACATAATGACGTCTGTTTTTGGTCTATAATGTCGGCGAATAATAATTGACGTTTAAAAGACCTCATTTCTTAGACTAGCCAAAGACGTAATTTTGAAAACGTCCTATGATCGTCCGAATAAAGTCCTTTTGTAACTAATATTGGGATTATATAATTCATTTGCTTACCGCTATATGGTGCGCTATTCACTATCTATACCCGTATTCATATTCTTGTCATGAGCGTATATAAAGCCTGCAAAATGCAGTTAATAACATTGTAATTAGTTCCATCAGTTTAATTTCTGATATGATTCCCGTACCGGGGAATTCAGATATTGAACTGATTTTTACAAAATCGGACAGATAAATTTTCGATTTTCACTTATTCGGACAATTTCTGTCCGGTTATTACTGTAATTGGTCTTAATTTTGTCGTCAAACAAACGTCAGAAAATGACGTCCCGTGGATGTGACATATCAACGTCATTTTCGGGTGTCATAAGACCTAACTTAGGACGTCTAATTGGTCATTTCGTGACCAAAATTTATCGTCATGGTAGTATAGGAACTTATAGTATAGGAAGTGCAGTGAAAAAGAACAGACTCAACGGACCAGTTCATCCGAGAGCATTATTGTTACATGACTGTAACAATCATATAACATGTTACTTACGTGTTATATTAACGTTATATAACTATAATTTATATGAGTAGG